CACACACACACACACACACACACACACACACACACACACACACACACACACACACACACACACACACACACACGCTCTCACACACAGTCTTACACACACGCGCAGTAGCAACATTAATGTAAGACAAATGCAACAACAACAACATCAACAACAGTACTCACAAAAACAACAACAATAATCACAACAACAAGAACAACAACAACAACAACAACAACAACAACAACAACAACAACCACAACAACAACAGCAATTTTTACAGCAGCAGCAACAACAATAAAAACAGTGAATAAAAAAAAACTCAAAAACTTTGTTTGAATCTCGTAGTTGGTTTTTATTTTATCTCGTATCTCCTTCAGAGAACAAAACAGCCTCCAAAGAAGGCCGAGATATGATGTCCATAAACACGACTTAACCTGATCCCCTTGATTCCATTAGTGATAATAACGAATAGCATATATAATTGTTTGGCGCAAATTGCCGCTCTACAGCAAGCTCTTTGAGCTTTGTACTCTATAATAAAATGCTTACTTCAACATAAGTTAAGGACCACCTTGACAGACAGCCCTAATTTGTAAAAAAAAAAAAAAAAGAAAAAAGACAGCAAAGATGTTTCAAATTTTTTTGCTCTGAAAATGTTAAAGGGCTACTAATGCGTCCTGCAAAGCTACCTAAAGGGGCATAACCACCACGTGCAGCACGGAAATCCTCGAGGAATTTTAGACAAATTTGCTGTTTTTTATCGACTTGTGTGCGACAGCACGGACATTCCTCAGCTAAAATTTCTGGTGCACGTCATAAACGGACGTACGGCCTCGAACTCTGCTCACCCTGGTGGCAATATAAGCCACCGTTTGCGCAAAACCCAGTATCGCACCAACATGCCTCTGAGACGAAAGCTGAGAGACTTTGATCGTGCCAGAGCTATGGCATGGATGCAGGATGGACTTGGAGCCCGAGAAGTTACCAGGAGGCTTGCAGTGTCACACTCTGTTATTGTCCGCCTGAGGCAGTGCCATCAAGCCACTGGATCAGTCCAAGAACGCCCACGTGCAAGTCGACCCAAGAAGACCACTCAGAGTATTTGCAAGTGGTCCTTAACTTATGTTGAAGTCTGTATAATATTATCATTACCCCAGCAGACCTGATAGCATTCAGGGGGCTCTCGCGGTCTAGATCTAGAGGTTAAGGTGTTCGAATCCGAATAGCGACTGATACGTTTCTTCGCTAAACTTTTTTCCTTACACACCCTTTCCTGGTTTCTAAAAATGTTCTGTCGTCTGCTTTCGTCTCTACTTTCTGCCCCACCCCCTCACCTCCTTTGCACCCTCCTTTTTGCTCCTGACTCTTTCTGCAGCCTTTCTTCTTCTACACCTTGGCTCCTTCTTACTGCTGTCTTTCAGCCACACCCATGATCTTATGGTAGGAAAGATCTACACCTACCATTTTCAGAAAAGGGGGAAAAATCTGGGAGGTCCTGTGCGTATGTTGCGCTCGTAAAAAATCCCTTGGAGGTCCCAAATTGAAAAGAGTAGGCCTCCTGCCGCCACCCGGGCAAAAATTAAAATGTTTCTACCCCCTGAAAATGTTTAATATGTCCCGCGCGCTCACATGACTTTATGCAATTGCGAGCGCCGTTAAACAATTACCAAAAAAAGAAAAAAAACAAGAACTAAACAGCCTCCACAGAAGGCGAGAAATGACGCCCATAACTATACAACTTTCAACAGGATCCCCTTGATTCTTAGAGTGATAATAATACATAGCATAATTGTATGGCGCAAATTCCTCCTCAAAACCCATTCCGCTTTGCACTCTTTAATAATAATTATATTATATTATTTACCTTAACTGACCTGGTAGCATTCTGAAATAAGTTCAAATTCCTTTGAAGAATACATTTCTACGAAAGAATGAATCGATACCGCTTTATAATAAGCTTAACTCATGTTTGAGTATACATGTAAAATTCCAAAAATCCCGCTCATCCACCTCAAAATTTTCGATTAACATTAATGGCATCGTGGTGAAATCAGGGATCATCAAAATAAAGAAATCGAAGGGGCCGACAATTTTGAGCACGTCAGGCAATTTTTATTAAATTTTTTGTTTTCAGCTCAACACCTTTCATGTCTATTTAAAAGCACATTCCTGTGTGGATTTCAATCTAACGTTGATCAAAGGCATGCGGCCATACACATTATATAAACCTGCAGTTTCCAAGGACACACGCGCTTTAAAAGTCACCGAATTTTGGCAACCATTTTCTCGCAAACTTTATCTCCTACACAAGGGAGACCCCCACCCCCTTCACAAATGAACATCTCGACTTCTATTCAAGAAAAAATGAGTATTCTGTTCATCAAGATCAAGACAAAAGAACAAGCTTTAAATTGATACCAATAACGAACAAGCTTCAAAATGATACCAATAATGAACAAGCTTTAATTGAGATGATACCAGTAACGAACAAGCTTTAAGATGATACCAATAACTCCATACGTCCCCCAAAATGGACAAGCGTCTTATTCCACCGTGTCGTGACATAATAGTTATTCACCAGTTAATCTCTGCTTCATCCCACCCGATTGTCTCCCCATACAGAGAGTTCTCTCTTTCTAGCCAGCGGTGGAGAGGCAGGAAGTACTCCATGAGGGCGCTGGACGACACCTTTCGACTTCCGGTGAGGTCAGAGAGTTGATCCTGCCACGGTCGACTCGATCCTGCGCTCAAAACGTTTCTGTGGGGGAAGATTATACTGCTGCTGTTGCTCATGGCAATACTACAGTTAACTACAATGCAATAATACATTAATTAATTTTTTAAAAATGAATTACATTTTATTAATCCTCCTAGGAAATTTGGGGGTACAATGACAAACATACATACATAAATACACAATTATTAATTTATACATCCATATATAAATATAAACGTAAATATACATACATGTACGTAGATTCATAATATTGCGCCAATATAGAACGGTTTCACAAACTTGTCATTACTGGTTGCCACTGTGCAGGACCTTTTTTCTTTTTCTTTTAAAGCTAGGGTTGTCATGTTTTGCTCAAGGACACACCACACCTCAGTGATCACTAACCTTACCACGCTGTCACCAAAACTTGCTTGTCATTGCTTTTGAGTCTGAACTGACGACTCTCTCAGCTACTTACACAGCATACCACCATCTCCCTAGTCAACTAACCCCACAAACAAGAGTTCTTCTCGCAACCCCCCCACCCCCCCACCCTTCCACACCCCCCCCCCTTCTAACTTTCTCTAAAAAGAAAAAGAAAAAATCAGATACAATTCCTCTAATTGAAAACGATGAAAACCATTATCGCTCAGAAACCTGAGAGCAAAATTGTCTTATGTGGCCCAGTACATTGGTGTCTCTCATAAAAAACAGTGACTTTTGAAAATGTGCTGATACTTTGTTTTAAAAAACAACGACGCCCCGCCTCCCCCCCCCCCCCAAAAAAAAAAAAAAAAAAAAAAAAAAAAACAGCAGCAAAAATCCAAACCCATAACAACCCCCGTCCCAAATAAAAAATAAAACACAAACAAAACAAAACAAACCCGAAACATCAAACCAACCAAACAAAAATCAGCAACAATAGCAAGAACAATCAAGGAGTCTAAAAATACCCCCCAAAAACCCCAACAAAACAAAACAGACAAACAAAACAAACATAACAGAAACAGAAACAACAGCAGCAACAACAACAACAACAACAACAACAACAAGAACAACAACATCAACAACAATTAAAACAGCAACAAAAACCCTCCTTCACTCCCTGACCTGAGGATCCACCCCGCCCTTTGACCTGTCGCTGTGAGGTCACACGTGTGTAGCGCCCCCTGGTGGCCGACCCGCCGGCACAACGACTCCAACAGCTGGAACTGAAGGCTGTAGCTCACGAAGTAACTGGAAGGAGAATGATGAAAAGCAGCCAGCCTCTTAAGCAGTGAATTATAATAATAATAATAATAATAATAATAATAATAATAATAATAATAATAATAATAATAATAATATAATAATAATAATAATAATAATAATAGTATCATTGATAGTAATGATAATAATAATATCCTTAATAATAATAATAATGATAATAATAATAATAATAATAATAATAATAATAATAATAATAATGCTGTTGCTGCTACTACTACTACTACTACTACTACTACTACTACTACTACTACTACTACTACGAATATCACTGATAATAATGATAATAATAATATCATTAATAATAATAATAATAATGATAATAATAATAATTATAACAAAATTATGCTAATAATATAGACAGAGGGAGAAAGAGGAAGAGACAGACAGAGACAGAAACAGCGACAGAGACAGAGACAGAGACAGAGACAGAGACGACAGAAACAGAGACAGAGACAGAGACAGAGACAGAGACAGAGACAGAGACAGAGACAGAGACGACAGAAACAGAGACAGAGACAAAGACAGAGACAGAAGTTACCCACATGATGTAAGGCGAGTATGCAGGAATGTGATGCAGACACTGTTGGAAACAGAGACAGAGACATGGGCAGAGACAGATATAGACAAACAGAAAGAGACAGAGGCACAGATAGAGAACGAGACAGAGACAGAGACAGATGGAGAGAAACAGACAGAGACAGAGACAGATACGATAGTTCACCCACCTTATTTGAGGCGAAGTGCAGGAATGTGATACACACAGTTAGAGACTGACAGAGACAGACAGAGACAGAGACAGAGACAGAGACAAAGACAGAAGTTCACCAATCTGATGTAAGGCGAGTGAGCAGGAATGTGATACAGAGGCAAAGGCAGAGACAGAGACAGATATAGACAAACAGACAGAAACAGAAGCAGAGACAGATATAGACAGACAGAGACAGGGACCTGTTAATAACATAATATGCAGAGGTTCACCTACCTGATGTAAGAGGAGTGAGCAGTAATGTGATACAGAGACAGAAGGAGACAGAAAAAAATAAACAGAGACAGACAAAGACAGACAAAGGAAGACAAAGACAGGCACAGACAGACAAAGGAAGACAAAGACAGGCACAGACAGAGACAGGCAGAGACCGACAGAGACAGGCAGAGACCGACAGAGACAGGCAGGGAAAGATAGACAGAGATAGGGACACACAGTGACAGAGACATAGTCAGTCAGAAACACATAAACAGACACAGACATTCACCCATCTGAGACAGACACAGACAGAGACAGAGCCCCACCTGATGTAAGGCGAGTGTGCAGGGATGTGGTACTTGGCCCCGGGGTCAAAATCTGCCTCTGACCGCGGCACAGGGGACCTAACTCCTTGGTACTGCAGCCTGGACAGACGAAACGAGAAGAGCGGTCTACGTGTTTCCACATACAAACAGACAAATACATACACACACACAAACAAACATACACGGGAACTAATAATAATAATGACACTACTACTACTACTGCTACTACTACTACTCTGCCGTCAGCTGACAAAAAGCCTTTTTTCAGTTTTTAATTTGCTAAATCGATAGTCTGACCTGTTACCCAACTTGTGTGAAAAAAATCAAAGTGAAACTGCGACTAGTGTTTGAATAAATTAATATTCAAATTTCGGAAGAACGCCTTTTTTAAATGGTTACACTGACAAAACGCCTTTTTTCTGCCACTGATTGTAAAAAAAGGCGTTTTGTCAGCGAACATCTAAAAAAAGGCGTTCTTGTTAAAACGCCTTGTGTAAGGCAAAGCTGACAAAACGCCTTTTTTCGTGATTATTTGTTTATTTCTCAAAGAAAATAAGCAAATTTTATGTTGTAGATAGGGAATGACATTCTGATTCGGGTGCGAATTCAAACATCGATGTGCTGTTCAAAGTAGTTGAGATATTATAAGAAAACCGAAAATCGTTGATTTATCGAAACTGCTCTAGACAAAAAAAAAGGCGTTTTGTCAGCTTACAGCAGATGGCAAAAAGAGAAACATTAAAATTTGTATGGAGCAAATCAGCTCTACACGCAATAGTCTACATTGTTACCCCACCAGACCCTGCAGATTGTTGAAACAATTTCAACTTTATGGGAAGCGTAATATATTATGCAAGCTGCCAATGTGCGGGTGCTAAAACAGAAACATGCCGACCCGATCTTTTGTTGCTTATAGCCGAGAACCCATTCACACATGGATTACGTTTTTTAAGGACGAAGCAGAAGCATTTGTCCGACCAACAGCAGAATAAAGGAACAATAGTACGTAAAAGTACACACACACACACACACACACACACACACACACACACACACACACACACACACACACACACACACACACACACACACGCACACACACACACACACACACACACACACACACACACACACACACACACATACATACACACACACACAAACACACAAACACACACACATACACAAACAGACAGACAGACGCTCACCGGAGCTCCCACCATCGCCGGTTGTAGTCCTGCGGCGTGATGTCACCACTCATGACCCCCCACCGCCAGAGGTCAACCAGGTAGCCAAAGGGAAGGAAGGCGATCTTCTCAAGTGCTTGGGACAGTAGCTTGTTCACCGTCCGTTCTGCGGTCGTTACAGATTTTCTTTTTAAATGGTCTCATTTAAGCACAAGGACGCTATCTCGAAAAATGCTGCTTTGAGAAAATCGAAGGTAAAGTTTTTGCCCCTTGTTCAATTTCTTTGAAAGTCAATTTAGATTATTTAATAGGAGTTGGATTTCTGACCTGGCCTGTCGGGGACCTGCAATTTAATTAATTAATTCTAGATCTACGTCTGTTTATCTACCTATTTTTACTTTTCCTGTACAGACTCAGAAAATTTGCCAAAGGGACAATGAAGTCTTATCGTCTTATCTTACCTTGAACAAACATGAATTTTTGGCCTGTGAATTATTCTCGCGTAAAAGACAATTTAATCTCCGCGAGTAAACATTTCACTCGTCACCCACGAAAAGATTAATTGTTTTACGATTTGATCAAACAATGATGATGGTGATGATGATGATGATGGTGATGATAATAATAACAACAATAATAACAATAATAGCAATAACATTAAAAACAATAATAACAATAAAGGGAAATATAATTTTTATGTATAAATGAATCATTGGCATGTGAAGCATTATGGAAGGTTAAAAATCCTACTTCTTCAAGTGGACTTTTCACTCTGTAAACCTGAAAAGATAGATATCTAAATTGTTTTCAATCTGTTCAAATAATCGTGTAAATCTAGATAAATTAAAATGGCTTGAGAATAATTTCTGAAGGAGGAAAAAACATCTTACTTTCTCGAGAAGACATTTCATCATCCATCAATTGTGGCCAGATGTACTGCCTGCTTTGTCGACTCTTCTTCTTCGAGAAGCGTCCTCTCTTTATTTCGTTTTGAATATTATCTTTTCTCCCGTCGTTGTCATCATCGCTGTTATCGTCGTCGTCGTCATATTCATCAGCGTGGGGAAACCCTTGAAGACCCAAGTAGCGGAGATGTCTGTCCGTCATGGCTGAGAGCTGGATTGTGTCCCCTAGCGCCTCGTGGAAGGCAGAGTTAGCTCCCTCTCTTTTGAAGTAATAAGAGATTATAACAGAGATGATGGTGATGATGATGATGATGATGATGATGATGATGATGATGATGATGATGATGATGACGACGAACGCCTGATTTCACCGTGTCGAGACACAAATTATGTACTGATCTCAAATGTTGTAAGTCGAGAAAGCAAAATTTTTCAGGAGATGTTCTTTTAACAAATGTGTTGCGAGGTGGTGGAATCAGGCACTTGTCAATTTTGGAGCATTAAAAGTTTCTAGTATAGCGCACATCACCACTCAGCACCAAGCTCTATGCGTTTTACAATCTATTGTTACCCCCGCAGACCTGACAGCATTCTGAAGCAATCTCAACTTTCTGAGAAGCATACAGTGCAAGTTGTGATTTTTAATAGGCACTAAAGCAGTGAACAAACTGAGAAGATTCTAATTCCGCTATGACCCACTTTCAGTAAAAATATAAAGTGCGCCATAAAATGGTGTGGGTCTTGAAGTTGAAGTTATGTTTAATATCTGTAATTTAAGAGGCATGACCATCTTTTTTACTATGTTGTCAACTTCTGATAGGCTCGATCTGCATAATTAAGTAGAGGAAGGAACGTTGTGACTCACCTCAAACAGACTGCCTAATGTCAAACGTTAATGCTGTCTTACAGCGATTCGTACCATGACCACTAGTCCTGGAGTCCAGCACGAAACTAGATCTAACCAAATTACAACAGAGTCCGCTTAAATTGTCAAACACGTTTAACCCGAAATCAGCGGTAAATCGAAAGAAGTTAGAAGCTCGTTTTTTCTGTCTATTAGAGCAATCCTTCTAAATTGTGGTAAATTATAATAATAATGATGATAAGTGAATTTACACTTCTCATCACGATCTGCAGCAAGCTGTATATTCCCTCTACAAACCCGGATAAACGGAAGAAAATGCGACAATATCGCAGGTTTATCTTTAACCGGGCTCCACCACCGTAGTTGCTAGCCCTGTCTAACTTCAGCACTCACCTAAAGATGGCCGGCTGGTCAGCATACGCCATGAAGTACTGGATGTGACCCATCTCGTGGTGAGCAGTCCAAAAGTCTCCCAGGCTTACCTCAGTACACATCTTCAGTCTGTGAAGTAAGAAAAGCAATACTACATCGAACATTTTTAAACATATAGGAATAAATGCAAACAGACAGCATTCAATTTGTTATTCAAAATCGAAATGAGAGCTTCTCAGTATAATGATTTAGAGCTGCGGAAAGAACCGATTCTGGAAATGATTCTTGCATTTAGTACTGCAACAGAAAAGTTCCGATTTCCTTTTACGTAGGCTTAAACGAGCAGTTATGAATTATTTCGATTATTAAAATTTTCTTTTAAAAAAATATATCAAATCGATTTTTGGAAGAAAAAAAGGTTCCTCGCTATTGTCCGAACGTGTTATTATTATTA